CCTGGCCCTGGCTCCCAAATTGGGAGATATAAGGTCAGGAAATGACCTGAGCGAGGGCCTGGCCTCTCAGTTCCTCAAGCTCTGTATCTGCAGTGACATGCTCCTCACTCAGTGACATTCAGCACCCTCTCCAATGGCCATCCTAGACTTTGTCATTACCCAGAACTGTTTCACCTAAAGAATAAAGAATTCAAATATGTCATTTTGTGACCACATCCTTTTGTCTTTCCAGTTTGTTCACTCTGAATGGTCTCCTGATACTGAGATCTTTTAGCAACATCATCAACCCCTCTTCAGATAGAGAGTCAGTGGTGCACATTTCAATCTTTTATCAGTATCTTAAACTGTTTGTCCCTTTGTCCTTTCAACACATGCATCTAACAAAATCCCACGCTTAAATGAATCAGGGCTCAGTTGTTCTATGCCAACAGAGTTCTGGGGAAAAACAAAAACATAAAATTAAGCAGAATGGTACCACTATAAATTTATGACACCAACTTCACCCGGGCCTTCAACTCTGACCCTCTGGAAATTCCCTCTTCAATAAGGTTGCTCTTACATTTTCTACAACATTTTTAATCCTTCTCTACCCTTCTTGAAATGCAGACCTCCCTACTTCTTCCCTCTCTTTGAGGAGGTGTGCTTACTTTTTACTTCAGTGGGAAAACAGAAGCTGTAATAAAGGATGTTTCATATACAACCAAGCAGCATCCTCATCCATTCTTTCCTTTTTCCTCCCATTAAAGGGAGATGTCCATCCTCATACCTGAGGTTACTTTCTCTGCCTGAGCTCTGAATCTCTTCCTCTATGGCTTTATCACCGAGAAACTTGGGCTACTCTCCCATCCCAGTCTCCTCTATGCCACATCTGTCTATCAGCAATTTATCCCTTAACCTGACATCCTGCTTCAGCTACTGCCTTCTATTTGTCTTTACTTTCTTTAGCAGTCAAATGTAATTTTTGTTGGTCTTTGGAATTATACTGTTTTCTATTACTATTACTTTATAAGTTTATATAAAAATTATGATTATTGTTATATATTACATATACAAACATGCTCACATTACCTAAATACAGAATGTTAAATAAATGCTTTCTCTTCCTAACCATCTCCCAAGTACATACCCCAGAGATAATCACTATAAGATTGTTTGTGTATATGTGTATGCAATATATATAGATGTATAAGAATTTCTTACACAAATGGAATCCTATGATACATGCTGTCCTGCAACATGCTTTTTTCATTTTATACATTTTAGATATCTTTCCACATCAGTGCATATAAGTACACCTCACTCTTTTTAATAGCTGCATTTAACTTTAATGGCTTTTTTTTTTGTGTGTGTGGTACGCGGGCCTCTCACTGCTGTGGCCTCTCCCGTGCGGAGCACAGGCTCCGGACACGCAGGCTCAGCGGCCATGGGTCACTGGCCCAGCCGCTCCGCGGCATGTGGGATCCTACTGGACCGGGGCACGAACCCGCGTCCCCTGCATCGGCAGGCGGACTCTCAACCACTGCGCCACCAGGGAAGCCCTTTAATGGCTTTTTAATATTCACTGCTCTATCTTCAGTGCGTAGGACAGTGTCTGGCACATAGTTGGCACTGTATGAATATTCAGTGAATAAGTGAATGAATAAAGTGCACTGTTTATAAGCGCACTATAGTTGAAATGAGTCCTCTATTGATAAACATTTGAGTTATGTTCAGTTTATTGCTTTTACAGATAAACTTGGCCCAAACAGCAGTTCATACCCTTCCTGTTGAATCTTCTTGTCCGTACATCCTCCTGACTCCCCTTGACTGTGCTTCTCCATCTATTTTTGTTAAAATAGTCTCTGCTTCATGTGTGACCAGCTAAGAAATTGCCCTTGATTGGCATGCACAAGAAACCCAAAAAGAATGAGCATATGTGATATACAGAATTTGCTGGAAATTTCTGTAGTCCTACTAAGGTAGTCATTAGTGTGGTTCACCAATGATTCTGATTCTTCTCCTTCCAGACACAGAGTAGGATAGTTCTTTGTTCCCTTTAAAGGTCCCTTAAAGTGTCTTGCTTCTGCCAGTAAAAGGTGCAGTCTTAACGAGCCAGCGTGATTGTCCTGTTCCTTCCCCCTACAGCAGAAGCTTCTTCTGCCTAGGTCCGGGAGCAGAGCTCCCCCTGCCAACCCAAGATGGGTATGCAGTGATAGCAAGAAATAAATCTTGTTTGTAAAGCCCCTGAAATTTGGGGATTATTTGCTATGAAAGCCAACCTAGCTCCTCCCAACTTCCCTGTGGTCCAAGGAAGGACCCCATCAAGTTCTTGCAGCTGCTTCTATTTTTATAAAGGATTTTTTAAATTGAGTTATAATTAGCATACAATATTATATTAGTTTCATGTGTGCAACATAGTGATTTAATGCTTTTATAAATTATGAAATGATCAATAAGACCAGTTATGATCCGTCATCATACAAAGTTATTACCCTTCTACTCTGTCATCTTGAGCTAATCTCTCTATAATTGTTATTTTGAGACATAGCCTTATCTCCCTCATTGTCCTCACCCTGAACCACTGCTCTCCCAGGGTATTGCATGTAGCATCTATGAAACCCTTCTTGTTTCCTACTTCCTTGCTTGGCCTGATTTGTTAGGACCATGGAGAAGTCTGCTGTCTCACTGTGGCATTTCTCTCACACCCTTACAGAGAGAAGCTCTTGGTATCAGAGGGTATGTAGCAGCATTAGGAGAACGAGCCTTCTATCACCCTTCCTTTCCATCCCCACTCAAGTCCTGAGTTGGGGTTTACTCCCATGTGTTGGAAAGAATGCATCGGGTGAGTACTTCAGCCTCTTCCTCCAAGGTCTCTGTCATTTTTCCTTGAGTAGTCTATCACAAAGGCCAGACCAAGGGCCACCTGATCAAAACAACAAAAAGTGAATTACTTCATGTGTCAAAGGCTACGTCAGTCCTTTGTAAGCTGAATCTGTCCCACATATAATAAGCCCTGCAACATGTCTGGGGTTGAAAAATTGACATAACTGCCAAGTTGATAACTTTAATCCTTTCTGTGGCTTAGCTTAACAAACTGCAAGCACATTAGAAGAGTATTTTGATTGGCTTTTTCTGCAAAACAATCCCAAAATGTAGTTGTCTAAAACAACTATATATAAGCAAGGATTCTTCTGGGCAGTTTTTCTGGTATGGCCAAAGCTCAGCTGATTTCAGTTAGACTAGCTCCCATGTGCCTGTGGTCAGTTGGTGAGTTGGCTGGAGACTGACTAGTTGCCATGGCCTCACATGTCTTCTATCAGCTGAGACAAAGAAGCTTATATCTTACATCAGCCAGCAAGTTAGCCTGGATTTATTCACCCAGTGGTGGACATAGGGTTCCAAGAACAGCAACAGGGAGATCCTAATGCACAGTGATTTGCAAGCCTCTGCTTATATCATATTTGCTATTTTTTGTCCCATTGGCCAAAGCAAATGACAAAGCAGCCCAAACTCAAGGGATGAAGAAAGCCTCTACCTCCAATGGGAGGAATTATTAAAGATATAGATATAAGGACAGAAAACACCTGTGGCCATTTGTTGCCATCTGCCACAAGAGGCTTCTTCTAAATAGCTGTCTGATCAGAGGCGGTGTACTTACTCAATCTACTCATCCCACCCCTACCAGGGCCCTTCAGAAGCCTGAGTCATGTCCTGCAACATCTCTAGTTCCCCAAATCTGCACTGGTGTCTATGGCACAAAACAGCTGTTCTGTATGGCTTGGGATAAAAGTCTGTCACTTTTGTACAAAATTATAGAAATGGTTTCCGAATCAGGAGCTCAATATTTAAAATCTGGGTAACACACCATTACTGTGTGAATTTTCAAGAGCTGGAAGAATTAGAGCATTGAGTTATTTTAATCTCGATTACTCCTTAACTTCAAGTATTAGCATTCCTGTAATATTCCATAACTTACTCACAGGTAAACATACTCCTCTCTTGTACCTGGCATTGCATTCTTGCAATGTTCTTCTTTATGGCTTCCAGATTCTAAGGTATACTTAAAAAAGATCAAATACAGGGCTTCCCTGGTGGCGCAGTGGTTGAGAGTCTGCCTGCTGATGCGGAGGACACGGGCTCGTGCCCCGGTCCGGGAAGAGGCACAACAGTGAGAGGCCCACGTACCGAAAAAAAAAAAAAAAAAAAAAGTCAAATACAATCACTAGAATTATGAAAACACGAACACATATTTTATTTTAATATTTATTAACATCCACATTGCGGAAAATCTGGAATTGCTTTGTATAATATGACAGTTATTAGCTATATATATATATATATATATATATATACTGCATTTTGAAGATATGGTATGAAGAAAAGAATGTTAAATATAACACTAATAACTTTTACATTGATTACATGTCAAAATGAGAATATTTCAAAAACTTGGGTTAAATAAAATATATTATTGAAATTAATTTCAAATTTTTACTTTTTAAATGTAGCTAGTGAAAATTACACACTTTTACCTCTCAGAATTTATTCCAGAAATTTACAGAAAAATAAAGTTTAAATGGTTATATTAATATCAGACAAATTATGTTTGAATGTATTTGAGAACAAAGAACATAATGAAAGATAAAGAAGTTTATTGCATAATAATAAAAGAATCAATTTATCAAGAATACATACAAATTCTAAACATTTATGCCCCTACTAACAGTACTTCAAAATACATGAAGCAAAAACTAAAAGCTGCAAGGAATAATAGACAAACCTACAATGAGAATTTTGATACACTTTCTCCCAATAAGTGATAGAAAAAGTAGAGAGCAAATCAGCAAGGAAAGAGAAGACTGGAACCATATTAGCAACCAACTTTACCTAACTGACATTTATAGGAAGTGCCTCTCAGCAGCAAAACACACAATCTTTACAAGAACACATGGAACATTTAGCAAGTGTCACATTCTAAGCCACAAAATATGTATCAATAAAATTGATAAATCCAAGGCAGACTGGTCAGGAAGCAAAAAGAGAGACGATATGAATTATCAGCATCAGGAATGAGCATCACTACAGATTCTACAGCTATTCAAAGGATAATAAGAAAGACCCAACTGTAAAAGTTAGTAAGGTAAAAGATACTGTATTTTGTGCAAGTGTGGCAAGAACTCTCTTGCATAGTGAAGTATGTTGATACTGTAACTTCTTTCTTGAGTGTGTATCCAAGAGAAAGCCTCAATAAATTTTCTCTTTGTTTCTTTGTCACTCCAGTTTTTCAATCTCCAAAGACAATTTATGTAACTCCAGGAATGCTTTTGAGTCCTGGGGACTTGAAATACACTGTATGAGTTTTTGGCCTTTCAAGACTATCTCACAATCTTCAGTGCCTACCTGAAAGAAGAAACCAAAAGTGTGATTTCAGAAAGTTTCCCCATTCTTGTAAAGGGTGTGCTTCTTCAGGAAGTCTTGTGGCAGAAGGAAGACTGGAACATGAAGGATAACCCCAGGACTTATTGATGGGCATGAAACTCCGGAAAAATACTTTGGATCCTAGCAAAATATTTCCCTAAGAGGTGAATCCATATCTGTACTTAAGTAATAATCAGTATCAGTGTCAAGCATAGAGAGAGTGTAAGCGGCAAGGGAATCCCAAAAAAACATCCAAAAGAGCAACGAGTATGTTAGTTCTGCTGACCAACCAGAAATGGAGCAAAAGCACATCATTTATTGGAGAAAAAACCAAAGGCTAGATATCTGGTGAATAAGACTTTCATGTTCACATACCTGGAAGGACCTGTTATAAGGTGGAAAGAGCCAGTAAACACTTTATAAATTAACCCCACAACTGAGATAGTCCTTTAGGACATATTATTTCCTTCCTATTTTATGAGCCATCTTATTTTCCTATTATTTATTTTGAGGTGTCATATGACATAAAATTCATTGAATATTATTCACCTTCTCACACTTGGGCACATCCAGACTCCGAGATTTTTTCTCTGAGCAAGAGATATTCTGAGAACCAACCATCTTATAGCCAGGGTCACACTTGATGGTGACAGTTTCAGGGCTGATCCTTCTCCACAGACAGCTTTCCATTTATTATTTCTGGTTTTAGGCACAGAGCTGTAATCAAGACACATTTTCTTAGCATCTTGAGTGTCTCAGAGAGAACACATTTTAACACTGATAATATCATTAAAAAGCGGTTAAAAATATTGCTGAATTCTATCTTTTCTTTCTACACTATGATCCACGATGACTACTACTTCTACCAATGCTGGCAACTATCTGAGCTCTGGCTGCAGTCGCCTACATGCCGAACACATTACACACATTATTTCATGTAAGCTTTCAGCAACTCTGTGAGGGAGGCACCATGGCTATCTCCATCTTAGAGATGAGGCAACTGAGACACAGAGAAGCTTAATGCTTTGCCCCAAGTCGCACAGCAGCTTTTAAGTGGCAGAGCCAGAGTGAAAACCCAGGGGTTGTTCTGAGCTCTTTATTTCTGCACTAAAGGACCCCTCTTCTGGCCTCAGTTTTCCCCTTTGTAAAATGAAAACAGTGACAGCAGCTCAGCTTCTGGAGTTATTATGAGTGAAATGATGTAAGTAACCTTTAGGAACATTTGCCTTATTCTGCTATAATAGCTGCTCTCCCAATAAAGAGGTCAACCCCATCGGTCAACTCTCCCATGAAAGGTTCCAGGCTGTATAAGAATCTGAGGATGCTCTTTCTTGGATATTTGGAATTAAACCACAGTGGACCTCTGTCAGGCTCAAGCACATGCTCATGACAACTCTACCTCTGCCTGGGAGGACGCTTTCTCTCAGAATCACTTCTGAACCACTCCACAGTTGTTCTATCAGCTTAGTGCTATTCTGTCCCAGGGAACTGGGATTACCTTTACCCTGAGGAGCCAGTGATGACCATTGTAAAAGAGTGCAGGACATTTTAGCCTCTCCAACCAGAATATATCCTTTCTGACATTCATACTCGACCACAGCATTGAATAATTTTTGTTCACTAGTATATCTAAAGTGTCCATGTTTAATTCCACATGATGAACTGCAACCTTTGAGGGTGAAAGAGAGAGTGAAGAAGAGAGTGTTTTTTCTGACTCATTAAACAAAACAGCATTCAACTAAGGTGATCTATTGGAAGACTTTCATCCTTCCCAATCAATTTCATTGCCCATAAGATAACTTGGAATAATTCACAAAGTAGGAGTGTGCCCTTCTATTACCATGTGCCTGGAAATTAAGGAAAGTGGGTATATGTATGGGTATATGGGGGAAAGAGAACTTGTATAGAACTATTTTTTCAATAAATTTAAATATTTAATGGAATGTGTGTATAAGCATTTACTATAGTGTGTCAGGCAATACTTTAACTCATTTAATTCTCCTAAACAATCTTATGAGGTAGGCATCATTATTATCCGAGTTTTATAGATGAGGAAACATAAAGAGGTGAAGTAGCTTGACCAAGGTCACACAATGAGGGAGGGGCTGACTCAGTGCAGTTCTGCTCCACACAGACCATGCTCTTGGCAATATGCTGCCTCAGTTGAGAGAATGGGCTACTTGGGGACCATGGAGGACCTTCCATAATAAAGCTTAGAGTCAGAAATGGAGGAGTCTTTTTTTTTTAACTTAAGTTACTAAAGAAACATTTGTGATCAAGAGACATTGTTCTGTGAAAACTTATAAGGGCTGTGGAAATCCAGAAACCTCAAGTACCTCCTTATCCACCAATCCCAAGAGTACTCTGTGTTTTTGAAATTTTTTTTTGAATTTTTATAGAAGAGAATCTAGTAAACTTTTTTTAATTACTTGGATAATGAAATAAGAATTAGTCAATATCAAAGACATTATATCAAATGTCATAAAACCTTGTTGGAGAATTTTCATACATTGGTAAATACAGATAATTTTAAGGAAAGAGATTTTAAGGAAGATGTCTTATTGGGACTGGAAAAACTTTCATAGTTTTGCATCTTCTATAAATAAAAGATTAAAGCCATATAGTAACCCTGGGATTTTCTCACTGAAACTTCTTCCTGGATTTTCCCATTGAAAACTCATGCTCAGAAAGCATTCTCCTGTCTGCCCTATGTTCCCACATCTGTATCTTTACTTACACAGTCTTTTCTCCTGACCATCCCTTTGATCCCCCTCCCCATCTAATTCAGTTCCCTCCTTTTTTGTTCTTTGTGATGTTCTTGGACCCAATTTAAATGGGGGTGTCCCCACACTTCCAACAAGCAATTCTTCAGACACTAGCTGGGTATCTTACAATTTAACTCAATTCTGACACTATCTACCCAGAGATAGTGTCAGACCCCACAAGTTAAGGGTTCAGTCCTACCAGACTTCTTCCCCCAATACCCGCTTCAGATGCCAGTCACAAGCCTAGGTTATCACCTGTGCTTCTGACTGACTGGCTATAGATTAGAGGTTCCAACAGCCTCCTCCTTGGACTTCAGAAGCCAGTCTCAAGTTTAGGTTGTTACCTGCATTTCTAACCAACTGGCTATAAATCAGAGTTTCCCACAACCCCCTCCTTGGGTTCAATTAATTTGCTAGAGCAGCTCACAGAAATCAGAGAAATATTTTACTTGCTAGATTCAGGAACAGCCAAATGGAAGAGATGCAGAGGGCAAGGTGTGTGGGAGGGGCACAGAGCTTCCATGCCGTCTCCAGGCACCACTCTCCCTGCACCTCCACGTATTCACCAATACAGAAGCTCTCTGAGTCCCATCTTTTTGGGGTTTTATGGAGGCTTTATTACATAGGCATGATTACTTAAATCAATTTCCATTAGCAATTGATTCAACCTCCAGCCACCATCCTTAGGTGGTGTCCCAAAGTTAGGTCATTAATATAACAAAAGACACCTTTGTTGTCCTCATTACTTAGGATATTATCAGGGTTTTGGGAGCTGTGAGCCAGGAACCATGGATGAAGACAAAATACATATTTTCTGAATGACCAAAAAATATTTTTTTCTTATAAATCACATTATTGTACCTGTGAACATACCTGACTACCCCTGGCACACAACAATCTTTGGTTTCTCTGAACTGTATAACTCTTGTCAGTAATAACAGGAGTATCTATCTATGTACTGTGTCAAGCACTTCACTTAAAATATTCCATTTAATTCTGAAAAAAATAACTTATTTGTGTCATTATCATCCTCACTTACAGATGAAGAAACAGACTAACTTAATCAATAAAGTATAAGTAGAAAGACTAAGCAAATAAATCACACAAGGTCATTCAATGAATGAAGTATGTCAGGTATGCCTCCAAAATCTGTGCTCTTAATGACATTCTATTTTCTGTCTCACTGATTTGGCAGTTATATTGTGGTGTGTGTGTGTGTGTGTCTGTGTCTGTGTCTGTGTCAGCAGATAGATGGACAGATCTGTATCTGTGTCAACAGATAGATAAATTGATGGACAGATCTTTATTTTAACTTTTGCATCTTGAGAGCAGGGAGCACATTTCATACCTCTCCATGCCACAGACATGTTCCTCTGAAAAGGGTAGTTCCAAAATACATATTTGTGCGAAGGTGATGTTGTTACTTATACAGAAAGTCTAGAGCTCAAGTATGGCCTTTTCTGAGCCTCATATGACGTCAATTTTTATTAACACAATAGACATAAGATAGTTGTTCTTATGTCTAAACTCCATGGAGAACATAAGGAGCACACTTGCATCTCATTAGGATACTAAGGCATAACATATAAATAGTTAAGTCAAAATACCAGGCAGAGTATGGCAAATGTCAAAAGAAAGCAGAAAATATGTACTATAGGAAGAGAGAGAAAGAATACCATGAGTTAAATATGCCAGGAAAATGCCTCCTAGGGAGAGGAATTGGAATTGGATTAGGTAACTGCACTGGTGGGAGGCATTTTATATTGGGGGAGAATTATGTTAGCAAGGGTGAGAGGGAGAAAAACACATGGAAATATTTATGGTTGGTTAATAGGCTAATTTGACTAGAGACTCATATGGGGGAGAAGTGTGAGAGATAGGCTATAAAGTTGGGATCTGAGTATGACAGGTTTTAAACAACAGACTGAGTGAAAGACATAATTCCATAAACAATCAAGGAATTATTAAGGGAATGAAAAGGAAGGAGTTTATCCAAAAAATAATTGAGTAGCTCACAAGATTTCTTGACAAATGATATGTGGCATTTCTTCACTGACTTAGTCAAAATGGAAAAAGAAATTCAAAGATGAACATGGAAGATTGGTAGAATAAATACACCACACACACACACACACACACACGAGAATGTGATTACTTACTAAATAAGTAAAAATATCATCAGGTCCAATTCTCAGTCAAACACTTGAAGAAGTTTATAATCCTATATTGACTCTTTTGCCTAACTTTCAGCCTTTTCTATATTTTGATCTTTTTGCAGAAGAAGCCTCCAAAATAAAGGTACCTCCATATCCTCCTTAGAAATTAACTCAGATTTAAAAAATCATATTAAAAAAAAGGAAGGGATCTATATGTTAAAAGAGACTTAAGAGATGTATCAAACAATTGTGATGTGTAGACCATATTTGGATTCTAATTTGAACAAATAAACAGTTACAAAAACATTTATAAATAAGACAATCAGGAAAAGTTGAACACTAACTAGATACTTGATATTATAGAATTATTATTTAATTTTATATATGATAATGGTTTGTGATTATTTTTTAAAAAGAATGATTTTAAAGATACATACTAAAATCTTCAGAAGTAAAAGGATTTCCTTCTAAATAGCTTAGAGTGGGCAAAATGGATGTGAATATGGATAAAACAAGAATGGCCCTGAGTTGATAATTGCTGAAGCTGGGTAATAAGTATACGGAGCTTTGTATATGTTTTAAATTATCCATAGGAAAAAAAGAAATCATATTTTCTAATTTAAAAAATCACCTTTAATGCATGGATGTTCATTTATATAAAATATAAAAATGTTCTAGTCACATTTCCCCATGGAGTCCTACAGATATTATCAAATCTTCTCAATGCTGATTAATTTATGAACATTACCAAACTGCAAAAAATAAAACTTTACATTTATCA